GCCTACAGAGGCGATCCGGGCTGGCAGTACCAGGTAGAGGCGGCCCTCTAATCAGGCATGTTAGAGGGTCCTCTGCTGGGGCCTCCCGAACAACCCCTTGCGGAGCAGCGGCAGCGCCGATCACAGAGCCGTGGCAAGGCCGGCCGGGTGCAGGTGGCAGCGGAGGTCGAGGGGTCGTTCGTGACGGCATCGCAGAGGAGCGGGGGGCAATTGCCACCCTGCCCAGTCCGCCCCTGGTTCAAGAACATGATGGGAGGTGTGAAAGTTTGTAAATCTACCCTGTTCTAATTACATAATCCAATCCCATGGTGTTATGTCTTGTTTTGTAATTATAATAGGGTGGTTTTGCAAATTTTTACCTCACATGTTGTTCTTGGAAGATCAAAATCTTGTGGTTATAAATCCTGGGGTATGTTCCCAACACTAATTAGAACTGAAGAAGCTATTTGGGTATCAATGAAATATTTTCAACATTACAGAACCAATCCAGTTTATGGCCTGGATAAATGAGAACCTTCACTGACAAAACATTAGAAAAAAAGTACTTATCGTACATACTGGGTTCCAGCATGCTTGATGGGGAAAGCGGAGGATACCAAATCCTGTGAAAATGCACTCCTGCATTCTCTAAAAATTTTGGATCCTTAGCTGTTTCGGAATCCTACGAGAAGGTAGAGTGAGGTTACCCTTCCCTGGGTGATCTTACTCTGCATCAGTCTGTGTTTTAGAGGCTGAAAGGATTTTCAGCCCATGTAATTATGTACTTAGTCCTAATTTAGTTGATCTAATCTAGAAAATACAGTGCTGAACTAGACAAACTGAACTGAAACTAGACATTGGTTATATTTTAATACAACATACCATGAAATGTGTGACATTTATTTGCATACGCTGGCTTTTCTGTTATGCCTGTACATGTATTCTTTGTTTTATCAAAATACCAGCTTTTTTCTTCTTCAAAAGTCATAAACAACAATATGAATTCACGGGCATCCAGGGGTCTGTTGTTTTCTTTATCAAGAGTTCCATTTCTGCAAATCAGCAATGGGCCAATTAAGCCTGAATGAATGTCCTTTTCCTATTGAAAGATAAAAGGTATATAAACAGCATGAAAAATAAAGATAAATTTAATTTTGATAGTTAAAGTCCATCGAAAGCCTATAGTTTTTTTTCCTTTAGCATGATAAACAGCTAGTTTTAAGACAATTTAAATGTAAAATTGTAAAACAAAAGAAATGTATTTTTTAATGGTAATTTCACTGCAGAAGGAAGAGCATTGTGACCCTATTTAAGGAGATGCCTATCCAATGGTTTTACTGGCAGGATCAACAAGTATTTACAGAATGCTCTACCGGAGAGCCCAGTCTTACTGGCATAGGCAATATGTCATTTTATACTTTGACCATGTTCTACTTTAAGAAAGTAATTCAAACAACCACAGGGCCTGTTTGCACTTGTTCGACATATTTTACTGCATGGAAAATGTTTTAAGTATAAATGCTTTTCATCACTATGTTTATCTGCATGTACAGATAAGCAGTAATGTATTTTAGGCATGCATGCTTCATATGAAATAGCCCTTCATCCAAAAAATGTGTCCACTTACTTCCTGATGGATTCTTCTTAGGAATGAACAGAGAACCCAGCCTGGAATACATGAGTACATTTCTTGGAATAACACCCCTGTAGGATGCCAAAGTTAAACTCTCAGGGAGATATTTCTGCTATAGTCCGCAAATGTTAAAAACAGATTTTGATTTTTTTTTCTTACTAGACTATCAGCTTAATTGCTTTTATGGACTTTAAAAAAATTGTGTAGGATAATGGAAAAAGTTTTGCCCACCTCTTATGCCTTCCTATTGACCAGAGTGGTAGTTTGTTGCAGTGATATGCCAATAGGAATAAGTGGGAGAGAACGGGCAAAGTCCATCAATACCAGGAAGTATTGGGCCTTTGCCGGATAATAGCTTCCCAGGATTGGGGCAAAGCAGGGGCACTGAAAGATACCACTACAGGTTAATTCATTATTTTCTCTGTTGCCTTAAAACTGATGGTTTTCCACACAGAAAAAAAAATAATTAAAAAGTGCAGGCACCGTAAATGGTGGATCATGGCAGGTTTATCATGTGAAGATCATTTTGACTTCCTCTGCTGTATGACAATTGACACATTCATCTTTTTTCATGATAATCTCCAGTATTTTATAAATTCTAAAAAACAAGGTTTCTTACAACGTTAACACCAGAATGATAGGCCCATGTTCTGCAGGCTGATGCTTCAGGCTCAGGTCCTGATTGTTTTGTGGCATACCACACATAAACATAAGATTTTCCAGGTTTTATAATGTCATCTCCCTGAAGCCAGTCTTCTGTTTCATCAGCATAGCTATATCCTTCTGATGATTTTTCATAAGAAACTCCATGGGCATGAATGGAATAGGGGCGAGTTGCTAAGTTTTTAAAAGTCACCTATCAGAGAAAAAACAGACTTGGCTTTATTT